TACCCTTGATCTGAGGTGGAAATGGTGTGTTCAAGTGAATACCCTTGGGAGGCTTTAATGCTTACCTGTCGGTTCATCTGTACTATGGAAGGAGCAGACTGGTACTTTGTAAAAGCACATGTGTGCAAAAAAGGCATGACAGGGGCTTCTGACCTCCTAGTCTAATTTTACAAGGGGAGGATCCAGAACAGATGGAGGCTGATTCCTGTAAGGTGAGCTGGACATGCCTCCACCCTTCAACCTTTTTACCAGTTCTGACACCACCCATCTCTCTCATAGCATTCTTTACTTCTTTTCTGGATTCGATCATTGTTTCTAGTGACCATACAGAACTCATAGACAGTACTCATGAGTATGGGGTTTATTAGGGAAGTAATAGGTTACATTCAGTTCTTCAGTCGGGACAGCTTCTTTTCAGCCGTGCACTAGGTATGTTTCTCTTCTTGTCTTGGCCTCTGCTTTCCTTGGGCCAGTGTTACAAAGCTCTTTTAGCTTTGATAGGCACCTAAAGAGGCACCCTACTCTGTCAGCAATTCTCCTGCCTGAAGGTACTCAGCTTCCTTGCTCTGTGAGCTGGGAAACCCATCCCTGTGTCTCACATTGGGCTCTTGGTTCACCTGCCTCAGCTGCTGAGGTTTCTGTGCCACTGCCTCTCTCTGCCATCTGTTCGGCCCAAAGGATGTGCTCTGCTCTTGGCTCTTTTCTCTTAATGGTAGTGAGAACCTCCCTTTTCACCTTTGGGATGGATCATTTTAAGCCTAGGGGGATAGCAGAACTGACCAATCCCCATGTTAGGGTTCCATACACCTTATTTTCATGGTCCCACCCCCACAAAGGTGCCATGTATCTTAATTTACATTATTATCAAACTATCCCGTCCCCTTGGTTGGCCATAGGCACCTTACGTTTGCATAGTTCCACCCAGTCATCTGGTGGGAGTCACAAAGACCATGGCTGGAAATAGCCATATTAAGTAATTCACTGCACCACAACAAGCTTCTTTAAAAAAAAAAAAAAAAAAGATTAAATATATTAACATATATCAGTATGTTTGAAAACACTTACAAATAATAATGTCTGGGCAAAGAAAGTGCCCAAGAAATATTAACTAGCTTCTGTATCATAAACCTCATTAACCTGCAGGTTATTTTTGATCTTTGCTTTTTATTCTAAAGCATATTAGAATCTCAGAACAGCATTGTTAGAAGGGCTTTGTGCTTAAGAGCCTATAGGTAAAACTGAATTAAAATCAGATGTTTGCATCTGGAAGTTATACAGTGTGTGTGTTTGCATAGGCAAACTGTACACAGAAGACAAGAGGGCTGGCAGGACCTTGGAGTGGTGGATGGACAGACAGCTGCCCAGCTGAAGAGAGATTATTTGAAAGCAGACCGCCTTTGTGATGGGGATAGTCTTTACTTTGGATTTATACTTCTGAATTTTATTTTATGTTTTGATTAAAAATGGGTCTGTAAGCTGTTTACCTTTTTTCTTGAAATTCCTGTCTCTCTTTTCCATTAGCTACAACTTCCCTGAGATGTTCCTTTCTGGGAAGTTTAAATAAAGATTCAGCATGTAATCATGCCACCCAGTATTTCCACAGGTGTGGCTCAGGGTAATCTTAGAGTCCTTAAGCAGAATGGGAACAATGTTCATTTCTCCTGACTCTGGCATGGCCCTCCTGCCCCAGATTTCCCAATGGGAAATGGATGCCCCAGTCAGCCAGACTCAGTTAATCTGATTCTGTGAGCTTCTTCCCAAAAACCCCATTGCCATGGTGTTTGTTCTATCTCATGGAGAACCCTCCGTGTTACAGAGTAGAAGTCCATCAGTGGCTCAACTTGTTAGGTTGCACAAACAATTTTCTCTCAGCTACTGACCTCTGCATGTTGGTGGTTCAAACCCATCCAGTGGTACTATGGAAGAAAGGCCTGGTGATCTGCTTCTGTAAAGATTTACAGCCTTGGAAACTCTACGGGGCAGTTCTGCCCTGTGGGTTTCTTACGTAGTAATCTTTATGGGAACAGATCACCAAGTCTTTGCTTCCACAGAGCTGCTGATAAGTTCGAACCATTGACCTTTCAGTTAGCAGCTGAATGCTTAACTATCATGCAATGAGAGCTCCTCCTAGATGGAGTTATTGTTATTGTCGAGTTGGCACCAACTCATACAACCCTGTAGGGTTGGAACAGACTGGATGGCACCTAACAACATAAGACCCTTTGTACAAGAGAACAAAACACTGCCAGGTCCTAGCTGCCCTTCAGGTCTGGAATTGAACCCACACCTGTGGTTTCCAGCCAAACAAAATACAGGCATATGAGTTCAACATTTACCTCAAGTAGATACACTCCTTGGAGAGAACAATCATGGGAGAAAGATGGGCTGCTTATGCACAGGGAGACAGCTCGGGGCAGGAGTGTATGGAGGGATGGACGCTGGGAAGAGGTAACTGTGGGGAGGAGGTGTGAGGGGAGCTGTTGCATTGTGGTAAACTGTGGTCGATGACATGAGACAAAGTATATGTGAACTGCTGTATGGAAAGTAGATTTGCTATGTAAATCTTCACCCAAATCACAATAAAATTAATTAATTAATTAAAAAAGAAAACACTGCCAGGTCCTGCGCCATCCTCACAATCCTTGCTGTGCTTGAGGCCATCTTTATAGCTACTTTGTCAATCCATCTCATTGGGGGTATTCCTCTTATTCACCAACCCTTTGCTTTACCAACCATGATCTCTTTTTCCAAGGGCTGGTGCCTTTTGACAACATGACCAAAGTAGGTGAGATCAAGTTTGGCCATTCTTGCTTCTTCTTGTTATGTGCCATTGAGTCGGATCCAACTCATAGCAACCCCTCCTTGGGATTCCGAGGTAGCATCACTACGGAAGTAGATTGCCCAACCTTCCTTCCGAGGAGTGGCTGGTGGGTTTGAACTGTCAGCCTTCTGGTTAGCAGTCAAGTGCCTTGGGCACTACACTACCAAAGCTCCCTATTCTTGCTTCTAAGAAGCATTAAAGATGGACCAGTGTTGTAAAAATTAGAACATAAGCTTTGATTTTATTAAATCCTCAGAATTCTTACTTTTCTCTAAGGGTGGTGCTACCAACTTAAACCCACTGCCATCGAGTCAGTTCTGACTTGTAGAACTTCACATAGGGTTTCCAGGTCTGTGAATCTTTATAGAAGCAGATTGCATCATCTTTTTTCCCACAGAGTGGCTGGTGAGTTCGAACTGCTGGCTTTCAGTATTGTGTGGCCTGGTCTGGGAACAGCTTTCTTGCTATCATTTGTGTTGAGGTGGGGACTGGATTAGTCAGAAAAGGGTCCATATCTGGCCTTTTTCTCAGTCAGAAATTACCCTACGTAATTCTCATGCTAATCCAGCCACAGAGGTGGCTTGGTAGAGCTGTCAGCCTAGTTTCTTCAACTGTAAGCATCACCCATGTGAGAAAAAGGGTAGGACAAGCACCCTGGCCCTGCTACATACTGTATTCTTCAGTAAGAACAGGGAACCCTCACTGTGGTTCCTGCCTTAAGCCACCAGTAGGGCCTGGTAGACAGCTTCAGTCTAGGTGTTTCAAATAGAGCAAGCAGTGAGATGCTTTTTTGACAAGTTTTTCTTTTCTTACCTATCTTTGATGTGAAAAATACCGGAAGGGATTACTTTTTGGAGATGGAGATAATTGTGACAATCACTAAACCAGTAGTTTTCAACTGGGGCCATATTGCCATCCAAGGGACATCTGGTGGTGACTGGAGACATTCTTGATTGTCACAGTTGAGAGAGGTGGTACTACTGGCACCTGCTGGTTAGAAGCCAAGGATACTGCTAAACATCCTACAGTGGACAGGACACCCTCCACAGAGAATGATCTGGCTTCAGATGCCTGTTGTGCGAAGGTTGAGCCTGCTGCCCTAACCACAGTAATTCGGTGAAGTCTTAGTGTGCACGCAGAAGACCTTCCCTCAGAGGGCTTGCCTGGGTTTATGTTCACTGATTCATCTGTATGTTCCCCCACTTCCTCACCCATTTCTGCTGCCAGAAGAGCATGCGCTTGCTTGTACGTAAGCAGCACAGTTCCAAAGTCAAACTTTTGTTAAGTAAATGCCTTAGAACTCGCAGTTCAAACTGGGGACATTATAGTTTATTGATAGCTTTCCTGATCCCCAGATGAGATCTGTACCCATGTATTTGTAGACTCACAGGACTCATTAGGCAGGTCAGGTGGGGACCTGTGCATTATCCAAATGTTGTCTTCATTTGGAAGAGATGACAAAAACATCATTAAATATTTTGAAACTTAATTTTTTAAAGAAAGTTCTTATTTCAGAAGAAATCTAGAATTCATACTTTCACTCTAGCAGCAGCATGGGCAAGAGGCCACTGGGGAGAGGCACTAGTGTAATCTTTGTCACGATTACAGATGCTGCCTGGATCTCATGGCAGCAGACTTTCGGGTTAAAGCATTGGAAGCAGACTTTCGGGTTAAGGCAGTGGCTGCAGGAATGGGGCCATAGGGATGGATTTGAAAATGTTTGGGTGTGGACTTGCCGGGATTTAGGGAAGAATAACTAGTGGCTTCTTTGAAATTCAGGTGAGAGCTTGTACATTGCAGGTGGGGAAAATCTGGAATGAGATTACCATGAGAAATTTATTTAATTGCAGTGATTTTTATTGTTGCTGTAGTTTTTCTCTTAACAAGATTCTTAAACTTCCTCCCCTCATGTTTTTCAGTTTAAAAATTGAGGTATTTTCTCTGAGGCATTTCTAAGGATTTTGTTTTTAAGAAATTTATATTAGATTTCTTTATTTTTTATTTTTTTTGCACTGAAGAACAAAATGCTTTAGTACTGGTAAATAAAACAATTTGGGTGGAGAGAGAGAGTGCTAGGGAAAGCATTAAGTTGATGGATTCTTTATATATAACAAAATGGAATAGTATTTCTCACAACCTGAATGCAATGCAAATGTAGCCTTTTTTTTTTGTTTGTTACAGACAATTTTACATGTATTGGAGACCAGGCCAGAAGCACTTCTGAATTAAGGTAATTTTGCTGTAATTGAGCCTCACCGGTTGTGAAAGTGCAATACTTACATTTCTTTAGGGTTTCCTTTTAATAGCTTGGTTTTTGCTGTAGTTGTGCCCATCTCTCTCTTTTTTAAGCCCAGATGCCATCTTCAGAACAAATTGAGCCTTAGAAGGAGGTTTTCTTAAAAAGTTTCCATTTAGTTTCATCAGGAAGTTTTAAGGTCCCAAGACAGATTATGATTTTAATTCTGGACAAGAGATATTTCTAAACTTTTTTTATTAAATAGGAACTCCCATCCCCCCCTTTTTTTTTTCACATTAGATCTTAATAGTTATACGGATCATGCTAAGGATTACACGATTCAGAAAAACACACCCATCTGCTTCTATAGAGTGTTTTCCTAGAGTATCACAGTGTCAGCAGTGGGTCAGTTTGGACAAGAGTGCACTGTTGTTTGTAGTAGTCTTGCAACTGTTACACCTGAAATGATTTCAAACTAAAAAGCAAAACAAAGCTGAGTGAAGAGTGTACTTCATACCATATACAAAAAAATTAACGCAGAAGGGATCATAGAGCTAAATATAAAACCTAAAACTAGAAACTTCTAATAGAAAAAAACGAGATGTGATCTCATCCCAGCATTAATAGCAAAATTCAAAATAATCAAAAAACAACAAATGCTGGCAAGGGTGTAGAGAGAGTAGAACCTTCATACACTGCTGGTGGGACTGTAAAGTGGTCCAACTGCTGTGGAAAATGGTAGGTGCTTCATTTAAAAGTTGGAAATACAAATACCATGTGATCCAGCAATCCTACTACTCGGTATATATCCTAGAGAAATAAGAGCCATGACACGAACTGATACATGCAAATTCGTATTCATTGCAACATTATTCACAATAGCAAAAAGATGGAAACAACCTAAGTATCCATCAGCAGATGAGTGGATCCACAAATTATGGTACATACACACAATGAAATACTACACAATGTTAGGAATAATGATGAATCTGGGAAATACTTCATAAGTAGATGACCCTAGAAGATGACATGCTGAGTGAAATTAATTCATCACAAAAGGACAAATATTCTATGAGATCATTACTGTTAAAAGTCAGGAAGAGGTTTACACAAAGAATCATTCTTCGAAGGTTACCGGGGGTGGGAGGGGAAGGGAGAATAAACTAACTAGAATAACTAACTAGAAGGTAGACACATACTAACTTGAGTAAAGGAAAAGGCAATGTATAATAATGGGAAGATCAGCAAAAAATGATCAAGGCAAAGGGAGACATAGGGAGGAACACAAGAATTCAAAACAGTAAAGGTGAATACTATTACATACACAATCCTGTGATAATGGTAGTAACAATAATTTACAAGTGGATGCATAGATAGACACATAATCTGAACAGGGATGAGAAGGCAAATGGGACTATACCCACAAATGTATATAGGCTTGATAGAGTCTGTATCTGTGTATTTATATGTCCTGCAAATATATCCATGAATATAGAAGAGCATATACGTAACAAAGTTATGAAAACATCTTAGTTATAACCACTTTGAAGGAATGAGTTACTGGGTCTAAAGGCTCAGGATCATAGTCTTGGGGGCACTAAGGTCAATTGGCATAACATAGTCCACAAACATAGTGTTCTACATCCTACTATGGTGAATAGTGACTGGGATCTTAAAAGCTTGTGAGCAGCCATCTAAGGTGCAACTATTGGTCTCTCCCTGTCCAAAGCAAAGAAGAGTGGAGAAAATCAAAGACCCAGGGAATAAGTTCAAAGGCCTGATGGAGCCCCATCCCCCATGACCCTGAAACCAGAAGAACTAGATGGTGCCTACCTACCACTGCTGACTGCTCTGAAAGGGATCATAATAAGAGGTCCCAGATAGAGTGGGAGGAAATGTGGACTAAAACTCAAAATTATATATATATATATATAAAAGACCAGATTTACTAGTTTGTTGAAGACTCGTGGAACCCCTGAGACTATGGCACTTAGACATCCTTCAAGCTTAGAACTGGACTTAAGCCCCATGGCTCAACTGGCAGCCAAATGACAGACAGGCCTGAAAGGTAAGCAGTAATATCAGGATGGCATTCACTCATTGGAATAATCAAGCATATGAGATCAAGACAACAGCATTTGCCCAGGGATAGAGCTAGGGAGATGGGAGGGGATAGGAAGGAAGAGCAAAGGGAAGGGGGTAAGTGCAGGGAGGAAGTGAGAAGAATGCTTTTACAGTGGGGATTGCGATAAATGTCACAAAACAGAATGTGTGTGGATTGTTGAATGGAAATCTAGTTTGCTTTATAAACTTTCACCCAAATCACAATAACAAAAACAAAAAACTTCTGTTCTTTGAACCAAACCCAACCCACTGCCATCATGTCAGTTCCAACTCAGATCAACTGCATAGGACAGTAGAACTGTCATAGGGTTTCTAAGGCTGTAAAATCTTTACAGAAGCAGATTGCCTCATCTTTCTCCTGTGGAGCAGCTGGTAGATTTGATCTGCCAGCCTTTTGGTTAGTGCCCAATGTTTTAACCACAGCACCACCAGAGCTCCTTCCATTCTTTGAAAGATACTTTTAAAGGATTGAAAGGACAAGCCACAGGCTGGCAGATACGTTAGCATCTTTTAGATGACTTTTATCCAGATATAGAAATAACTCTGAAAACTCAATAAGAAAGCAAACAGCCCAATTAAAAAAAAGACATGTGATTTGAGCAGACACTTCACTAGAAAATGGAGATAGCAGATAAGTAGATGAAAAGATGTTCAACATCATTCACCATCACAGAAATCCAAATTAAAAACTACAGTGAGATATCACTGCCATGTTAGATATAGGAAATTGATATATTAGATAGAATATATACTTAAAATAAATTTTACTTGTTTCTTCTTTTTTTTTTTTTTAATATGGTTTAGAGAGATTAACTGATTAGAAGAGCTGTTTAGGAGCTAATGATTCCAGTGGACTCCATGAGTATAAGCATGGTGCCAGGAGTCATAGAGCCCCACAGCCAGCCAGGCAATGAGACCCAGAAGCTGACTCACCTGCATAGTTGGTATTTAAGACAAAAAGTGATTTTGAGATGCTTTTTCTAGAAGTGGGGAAGCTCAAATCACTTTCCCTAATAGGAGTGCCACAATATAAAGATGAGAGGTATTGGCACTTGACCCAGGTCAGAAACTGTTGAGGTGTTAGCCTCTATTGTATTGCTGTCAGGAGAGCTCGTTCTAATGGAATAAGATGAGGAGGCAAGTGACTAGGAACGTATACTTTTTCTTTGTGGTCCCTTACGGAGCAGTTTAAGGAGTTCTGGTGGCATAGTGCCTAAGGCATTTGACTGCTGAACACAAGGCTGGCGGTTCAAACCCACCAGCCACAACTTGGACGGAAGTTTGGGCAATCTACTTCCACAGTAATAACCACCTCAGAAACCCAAGGAGATGTCACTATGAGTCGGATGGGGCAGTTTGCTCTGCCCTGTAGAGTCATTATGAGTTGGAATGAACTCTACGGCATGTTTGGTGTAACCATTCATTAGTTGGCAGCTGTGGACATGGCATGGTAAACTCTAGAGTTAACCTGAGTTAGAATTCTCGCTTTGCCACGTTAACTCTTAATCTCAGGTAGAGTCTGTAACCAGTCCATGACTCCATTTCTTCTTATTTAGAATGTGGAGAGGAGATAGGGCCCCCTATCTTTTCTCCACAGAATGGAGAGGACATAATATGAAGTGCCTGTCACACAGCAGTACTTAGTTATATCACAGCTGAGATCTAGGAGTCAGTCATGAATTTCCCTTCCGAAGCAGTTCAAAATCTAGGTGATGAAATCAGAGCTTTGGTCAGTAAAACCAAGAGTGCTGCTGATACATTTAAAAAAAAAAAAAGTTTAGTTATTGGGGCTCATGCTAGGCCTGATCAGAAAGAAACTGGACTGCACTAATTTTACCCACTGCAGAGCTGCACTCAATGGAATTGACTGGATTTGAAGGATCATAGGACTGTTTATTTGGTGAAAATGAAGACATTCAGAAGAAATTAATACATGTTGATTAGTATAAACCATGCTTCTACTTTCTCTGCTTGCTTTTGGGAGGTCCAAGATCTAAGCCATGTGAATTTTGTGTTACTTTGTTGTACTGTGGTGGCTTGTGTGTTGTTTTAAGGATGGATGCTACGGCACTGGTATTTGAAATACCATCAGGGTCACCCATGATGGACAGGTTTCAGCGGAGCTTCCAGCCTAAGACAGACTCAGAAGAGAAGAATTGGCCAGTGAAAACCTTATGAATAGCAGTGAAATACTATCTGATATATTACTGGAAAACTTTATGAATAGCCCTGAAACACTGTCTGATAGAGTGCCAGAAGATGAGCCTGTCAGGTTGGAAGACGCTCAAAATACAACTGGGAAAGAGCTGCCTCCTCCGAGTAGAGCTGACCATAATGGTTTGTGTGGAGTAAAGTTTTCGGGACCTTCATTTGCTTATGTAGCACAACTCAAAATGGGAAGAAACAACTGCACAAACATCTGTTAATAATTTGAACATGGAATGTATGAAGTATGAATCTAGGAAAATTGAAAGTTGTCAGAAATGAAATGGAACGCATAAAAATCAATATGCTAGGCGTTACTGAGCTGAAATGGACCAGTTTTGGCCATTTTGAATCAGACAACCATATGATCTACTATGCCAGTAAAGATAAATTGAAGAGGAATGGTATGGCATACATCGTCACAAAGAATGTTTCGAGATCTATCCTGAAGTACAATGCTGTCAGTGATAGAATAGTGTCTATATGCCTACCAGGAAGACCGGGAGCTCTGGTGGCATAGCGCCTAAGGCACTTGACTGCTAACCAGAAGGCTGGCGGTTCAAACCCACCAGCCACTCCTCAGAAAGAAGGTTGGGCAGTCTACTTCCATAGTGATACTGCCTCGGAAACCCAAAGAGGGGTCACTATGAGTCAGGTTCGACTCC